TATATATATATATATATATATATATATATATATAATAAAGCAAACAAAATAAAAAATAAAAAAGGTAATTGCGACATTTTATCTCATAATTAAGTTCTTCTCGCAGTTCTGAATTTACATATGACACTTCTGACTTTTGTTTCCACCATGGAATAAAAAAATACTTTTTATCTCACAATTCGGACTTTATTTCATGTAATTGCATGTTTCTTTCACAATTCAGACTTTACTTCTCAGAATTACGCGAAAAAAGTCTGAATTGTGAGATGACAAGCTGCAATTACCTTTTTTGTTTTTCATCCTGTGGCCGAAACAAGCATCTGTATGTCAAACACAAATCCATATATATCTTTTATTTATCAACAAACACACAAAATACAAAATAAAAAATTCACTACTGCTATCGAAAGCGTTTTATTGGTAACATCCTCCACTAAATGCTTCTGGAGGAGCTGAGGTGCATTTGCACGCTTCTCCTTGCTTCAGATCACACAACAGACTCCAGATTGAGGTCAGGACTCCGGCTTGGCCTTTCTAAAATTTTGAGCTGCTTCAGTTTGAACTCTGAGCAGTTTATTTACTCCCGTGTCACTGCAGTGTTGTAAGAGTCGTCCTGTGCTGAGTTTTACAGTACACCACACAGCTGTACAACCTACCATGAAGTGCGGGTAAACGGCGGGAGTAACTATGACTCTCTTAGGATCTCTGATCCTCCTCATCCTGGCAATGGGAGAGGTGATCGAAGAGCCACTTCCCGACATTAGGATTACATGGGGGGAGGAACGGATTGGAGCCATAGCATATGCGGACGATCTGATTCTGCTGGCCGATGCCCCCGAACAGGTCCAGAGGAAATTGGATGGCCTCTGCAGAGGAATACAGCAGGTGGGCATGTCGCTCAACACCAAGAAATCAGGAACTTTAACTATCCTCAAGGATGGCCGAAGGAAACATGGAGTGAATGATAATGAGTGACACCTGCGCCACTCACTGGTCTCGAGTCCCACGGAGGAGCTCTGGAAGGATAAAAGGAGGAGTGACGACAGTGCAAGACGAGAGTGGACCAGGCCTGGATTTTATGTTGTTTTGGTTCTGTTTGTGCGCGGCAGTCGTCCTTGAGGGGCTGTTGCGCTATTTTCAGTTCCGTGTTTATTTTATCATTAAAATTATGTTTAAATGTTCGCCGGTTCCCGCCTCCTTCCTTCCCGACCTATGAACAGCGTTACAGCAGGATAAATCAACCATGTAAATTCGGCAAGGAAACTGTGTGCTCTTCTGAAGAAGCTAAAGTGGAGTGGACAAAAATGATGAAAGCGCCTGCGGATGGCAGGATGATGACAATGGACGACATTGACTCAGCGAGTTACCACTGGGTATGCAAGCCCAGTAAAGTCTTCCCCAGACTACACCTCAGGGGAATCCAGCTCCGTGGAGGTGTACTCAATACAAAAGTAAGAGCCTCCAGAGGAAGGGAGAAGTCCCTTGATGAGCTAATGTGTCGTGGGGCCTGCCACGCGAAAGAAACCCTCAATCACATACTTCAGATCTGCGAAATAACTCATGATGCCAGATGCGCCCAACACAATCGTATCACAAAGCAAATAGAGAGGATGCTGAGAAAGAATGGAGCCCAAACATGGATCGAGCCAATTATACCCACCGAGAGAAGCTTCATAAAACCTGATCTGATAGTGGACACAGGACAGAGGACAGCATGCCACAATCCTAGACATATTCATAGTAGCAAACCCCCGGATGGAGCAGAGCCATAAACTGAAAATCGAGAAATATGGCTTCCGGGAGAACTCCACGGCTATACGAGCTTGGATGGGAACTGGCACCCCACTAAAGCATCTCCCGATCATCATATCAAGCCGAGGACTGATGTATGGTCCTAGTGGAAGGGGACTTTGGGCAATGGGTCTGACTGCTAGAGACCTCTCGGATCTATGTCTGCTAACAATCGCCGAATCACTCAAATGCTACGACGTGTACACCCATGGAACCTAGAACCAAAAAGACTTATGAAGCAAATATGACCCGCAAAAGCCTTGCCACAACTAACTGCCTAGCATGTTTTTAGGTGCTTCAAGCGTCTGTGGAAGTCAATCATCACAAGGGACAGGACGACTTGAAAACGTGTTGTAAATAGCCAAATGCCCTGTCATCTAATTAGTGACGCGCATGAATGGATGAACGAGATTCCCACTGTCCCTACCTGCGATCTAGCGAAACCACAGCCAAGAGAACGGGCTTGGCAGAATCAGCAGGGAAAGAAGACCCTCTCCATGTCAGAAATTTAAAATCCGAGCCCGGATGCCAGTTCCTGCCACAAGATATCCGTTTTGTCTCATATCCCAAACCCAGACAGCAAATTTTTATCTAATACCCAAAACCCATTAATAACAAGTCTTGGCAGGTACCCAAAACTGTATTAACAATCGATCTGCGGTGCGCGGCGGCGACTCTGGACGTGCGCCGGGCCCTTCTCGCGGATCTCCCCAGCTACGGCCCGCGTCGGGACCTCCGTCTCGGTGCCCCCCTCCCCCGGGAGGGGGCCCGGGGCGGGCGGCCTCCCCGGCGCGGCGCCTCGGCCGGCGCCTAGCAGCCGGCTTAGAACTGGTGCGGACCAGGGGAATCCGACTGTTTAATTAAAACAAAGCATCGCGAAGGCCCGCGGCGGGTGTTGACGCGATGTGATTTCTGCCCAGTGCTCTGAATGTCAAAGTGAAGAAATTCAATGAAGCGCGGGTAAACGGCGGGAGTAACTATGACTCTCTATCGGTAGCCAAATGCCTCGTCATCTAATTAGTGACGCGCATGAATGGATGAACGAGATTCCCACTGTCCCTACCTGCGATCTAGCGAAACCACAGCCAAGAGAACGGGCTTGGCAGAATCAGCAGGGAAAGAAGACCCTCTCCATGTCAGAAATTTAAAATCCGAGCCCGGATGCCAGTTCCTGCCACAAGATATCCGTTTTGTCTCATATCCCAAACCCAGACAGCAAATTTTTATCTAATACCCAAAACCCATTAATAACAAGTCTTGGCAGGTACCCAAAACTGTATTAACAATCGTCTATCAGCCAAGAAGTTAACTGAGAAATCTAGAGAAGAGCAGAAGCAGGAGATGAAGTGATGTTGATAAAAATTAATTCATCTTAGTTGCATAAGTTTCAGCACAAATCCAAGAAGTGTTATTATATTAAACTACTTCACATCAACATCCCATCTCATAAAACCTTGAAATTGCAATATTCTCTCTTATCTCTTATTTACACTCCATGAAACTCTGCAATCATAAGATTAAATAACAAAAGCAAGCACTGCAAGAGCAAGGAAAGTAATAAGTAATATAAAATGTAAAAGTACAATAAAAATAACAATGATAAATAATATAAATCAAATTACATAAATGACAAATGATAAATGATAATGAAACAAAATTTAAGAAAATGAAGGAAACGTATGGACTGAAATTAATCCTTAGAAACTTTAATCATGGGTTCAGAAAAAAAACACCTTCACTGCTTTAATATAAAAATATACAGGCACTTTAAGTAACGTTTTAAGAGACATCGAAAACAGTTATCTCCAGACTTTGCCTCAGGTTGTCTTAAACTGAAGCTCTCATTCTGCCGGTGCTTTAGCATTTTTTCGTTCATACAGAGACAGTAGGGTCAGATGCTTTCCTCATTCAAAGGATAGGAATGAAAGAAAAATGTGTGACGGTAAACTCGCTTTTCTATTAACAAGGTTTTACACATAGAGAAATGAATAGTACTGTGTATAAATATGTCTAAATCAATGACATACAAATGCACCACTGAACTCACCAGTGTGAACTTCTCAGTGGTCAAAAGTGCAAGGTTTTCCACTACATCCTCGTGACCAGTGTTGGGGGTAACACATTGCAAGCAATGCGAGTTACGTAATCAGGCTACTTTTCCAAGTTACTAGTAAAGTACCGCATTACTTTTAAACTTACAATGAAATATCTGTTACTTTTTCAAATAAGAAACACAAGTTACTTTGTTTTCCCATTTATTCACTAACACCTCTCCTGTTCCCATGTTGAGAGAAATTGGGAATGAGGTGCAGAGGCACTTCCTTCAGGCAGAGGCTTATTAACTTCACGTTTAGTGTGAAAGGGCCTTTACAGTTGCCAAAAATATAACTTCTGAGTTTATTTGTAACTAAAAATAAATAAGCAAACCCAGCTCAAGTGACCAAAAATAACACAAAAGTAACAATGCATTTATTTCCCTAAAAAGTAACCCCCCATAATTAGTTACTATTTTATGGAGAAACGCAATATTGTAATGCATTACTTTTAAAAGTAACTTTTCCCAACACTGCTCATCATGCACCATCCCACTGAAATCAATGATTCACTGCGTGAACTGCTATATTGACAAGTGCGACAGAAACTGACAAATACTGAATGCCCCCAAATTACTATACAGCTATAAACTGCACCATATGCCTCAGTTTTAAAGATAAGTCAACAGTGAGAAATCATGTAGAATAAACTCATCTTTTCTCCTGGGAATGTATAAATTATCCATCTGAGGAATCAGAGACAATCAATGCAAAAGACCTATTCCTCACAATCAAGACACAATTACATATGCTGATATTTCGGTTTTCTGGCGCAAGACACAATCATGTATTTATTTAGTTTCCCTGTTTGTCTGGACCGTGTCGGTCTTCTGATTCTCTCTGCGGCTGCTTATGAAGCTGAACGGCGGAGCGTCATTCGCCGGTGCTCGTTCTCGTTGACCCGCGAGTCGTCGTTGACTGGGTCAGTGTTGCAACATTCAACAAACACTTCATTAACATGCAATTAGAGTATTGTAATGAGCGAGCGCGTAAACACAACCCCATGCTGTCAGGAACGCAGGTGAGCTAAACACAAGCGTGACACACCTCATTAAACACTACCCATTCCCACCCTCAGCATGTCTGCTGCTCAAAATCTACACATGATTTGCAGTCCTTTGAAATCAGCACGGCTCCTGGCCCAGCTCCTGAGACCACGATCATTATGTTATTTCCAATTACATCATGATATGAAGTGCAGAAACACAAATATGGTTAGTAATTGGAAATGGAAAGCGTGCCTCAGAATACCGAGCATGTGTCCTGATAATGAACATTAACATTTGTAATTTGTGTTGGTATGAGCTTCTATTCTCAAACATACTGATTAATTGGTGAAAATCAATGCAACTGGACCCTGACTGAGCTTTGTGTTCTGGAAGGTTATCAGATATTCAGCAGCTGCCCAATTAACAGGAGGATGTAAGCATTTTACATCGGGAAAGAAGCTCTGCAGGGTTCCTCACCTTGAGAAGATGTTCTGAGCACAACATTCCCTTATAATCCAGAAAACTGTGAATGCCTCACGTCACGCAGGATGCATATTACCAAGCTGTGCTGTCGCAATAAGCATATAAATGGGCCTACATTTAAGATTTATGTATTTGAATTACACATAAAATATCCAAACATTTGGATTACACATTTTTAACAAAGTATTAAATGTAATGTGATGCATATTTGTCAATCATACATAAATGAAACAAGTCTGATTTCTGCGCTCAAAAAAATTATGGCAGGAAGCAGAACTGTGTCATTATTTGTGCAGCTCAGTTTGGTGATGCTAGTGACTTTAGCTTTGAAGTTATGCTTTCTAATACGGAACTCACACTTTTTATTATTATTTTTATATTTATTATTAATAATATTTAATTTTTTTTGTTTTTTTTGGTATTAAAAAATTTCTTCCATGACAATTTGTTGATGACACTTGAAGCCAGCTGAAGTAGTGGTAAAATGTCTGCATTAAAAATAAATAAATAAATACAAACAAACAAACAAACAAATAAGTAAATACATCTTTGCATCTGCAGTATTTGATTTTATTTAAAACATAAAATTATATGTGACCCTGGACCACAAAACCAGTCTTAAGTGTCAATTTTTCAAAATTGAGATTTATAAATCATATGAAAGCTGAATAAATAAGCTTTCCACTGATGTGACAATATTTGGCTGAGATACAACTATTTGAAAATCTGGAATCTGAGGGTGCAAACAAATCAAAATATTGAGAAAATCACCTGTAAAGTGATTAAAATGAAGTCCTTAGCAATGCATATTACTAATCAAAAATTAAGTTTTTATACATTTATGGTAGGAGATTTACAAAATATCTTCATGGAACATGATCTTTACTTAATATCCTAATGATTTTTGTCATAAAAGAAAAATCTATAATTTTGACTCATACAATGTATTTTTGACTATTGCTACAAATATACCCCAGCGACTTAAGACTTAAGATGATTAAAATACATTTTAAATTAAATTACATTGTGAAAACACGTGCATTATTAATTGGCCCAGATCTGTGAAACAAGCAATATTTAAGCAGTTAAAATATTTAAAATGTGAGTTTGAAACCAATTTGGATTTATCGATGATAAATATATAATCCTAGTTAATGTGTATTTAAAACATTAAATTTATGAGTACTATTACAGAAATCTTGCCTGCTTCTTAACTGCTTTTTTGTATGTTACATTTACTGTATGTATTTTTGACAAATATGAATCACGTCAAGTTTATTAGTTTATGTTTAAACTTTGCAGTCTAAATGGATTGAAATTTTATAAGCAATTCAAATACATGAATCTTTTGTCAGCCAACCAAAACATGTGCTTCCTGAGATCTACATAAACCATAAGAATACCGGTCAGTATTTCATGCAGGGAGCCCAGGGTTAATATTCTAGCAGTGATTATTCATGTCGACTTCAAAACCCTCTTAAATTACATACAATGCTATTGGGGCATCTTCATTTTTAGACATAACGGTGATGTTCAACAGTGTGATTTGGAAGTACTCACATTTATATCCTCCAGATCCAGGAAGTTGAGGATGATGCCGTTTCTCTTCCAGATGATGGGTGGTCTCAGGGTGCCCTGAATGGCGCAGGACATCACGGCGCTCAGGCCTACGGTCACTGTTGTGACGCTCAGACGCTTGTCATCAGCTAGACTGAGCTGAACGACCTCTGCGAGACAAAACACCGTTATTGCAATTTAGTTAGCCCATGCATTTACATGTATTACTTGAAAAATTATTTGTAATTTATTAAGGTGTTAGAATGTTAAAATACTTTCTGCTGTCTCAGTTTAATATGCTATTATTAGGATGTCTCCCTGTGACAACAGCGATGTGTTGATCATGAGTGATTCGTTCATTTTGAATGAATTCTTTATGACTCTGGAGTAGGGGTTGCACCGACTAATCGACTTCAATGCTCTGCCATGACGCTTTAAGCTTGACGCCGACTAGTCACTGGTCCTATAGTAGGCTCAACACTGTTCTGTGATTTCTCAATAAAATAGCTTAGAAACTGAAAAGTTCTATAATTTATTTCTTAATAACTAAATCCCACAGCTTCTGTACTAGTAGAGAGATGCTGCCAGGTAGAATTCATTCACACACGCAATCGCTCTCACTAATGCATTCATATGAAAGTCATCTTTACTGTGCTACTTTATCTGTATCTGATTTAGAACGAGTAGAAATCTGTGAGAAATATAATGACCCAAAGACAAAAGAACTGATAAAAATGAACTGTTATAGGAGCAATAGCCATATCATATGCCATAGCTGTGCACAAGGTGTTCGAGTCTCAGCTCCAGACTTATTTGTTCATTAATGACGTCATCAGCGACTAGTCGACTTCGACTCGACTTTCATCACATAAAAGTCGACTTTAAAAAAATCAGAAGTCGTTCAACCCCATACTCTGGTGTAACGAGTGGTCTCAGAAAGTGACTAGATCATTTTTTTTGTGTACAATTTATTTTGAGGAAGACAAGCTCCTGGACTAGGAGACCTGAATAAAGATTTGTTAATTTTGCTGAATGAGATTTAAACATCTGAGTCGGTAAAATGATCCAATCTTCTCATTACTAGGCACTATCAAAACATAGATCTGTTTGTTTGCAACACTAGATGCATTTACATGGAGCATTGTTTTCTGGTTACTGAAAATGCTTTACGTACACACCTCCAAGGGAATAAAAATGGCCAAACCGATTGAAATTTCAAACAGAATCCGAATTGTCTCAATAGTTGAGATTTTAGGGCTACACAATAATTGTAAATCTGTTAATCATGATTATTTTGATAAAAAAAACATTTTTTTTTTTGCATTTCATCTGAATTATTGCACTTTCACATAAGCATAAATCAAGAGAATGTCCATTCGCATCATTTACTTCCAGATTTAGTTGCAGCAAACAGCAAACCTTTTGAGCAGAATATTTCAATAGAGATCGGTTGCCAGGTTTGGGAAGATGAAGTAAACCAATGGACAGAAAATGTATTGATTCAAAAGAAATGCTCTCATTGGGGAATTTAAAATCTGGACATCTGGCAACCGCAATCATGAAAGCTTATGAAGGTTTGTTACCAATTCAGGATAATGCAAATGCCACATTAAAATGAAATGTTTCAGGATAAATAACCAGCAGGCAAATAAATGCTTAACTCTTTCCCCATCAGCAGATTTTATTTTGTTGTATGAATATCTAAACATGCAATATGTCAAAAGCAGAACAGAGCCTCTGCTTTTAAACTATTTTTTTCTATTTTATTCTAGCTTCATTCATTCTTTTTAAATCAACACTTGAATGTGGGTAAAAAAAAAGAAAAGACTATGTCCAGACAGGATTCAGAACAATAAACAAAACATTGATGGAATAGATAGAGTTCATTAACACCTCTAAAGCTTCACAGTCCTAAAGCTTCACTTCCTGGCTTGACATTTCATTTTGTAACATTAGGCAGTTTTGAATGACAGTATATGCTGTTAATGTTTGATGGTCGCATTATTTTACATATGCATCTGCTTACATACGCGATCACTTGTTTGTGCTTCTTCTTCGCCTGTGTTTTGACCTGGGGAGTCTGTACTCTTTCAGAAGATGTGTAATAGCGCCCCCTACCGTATAACAGTGAAAACATGGAAAGAAAAAAATCTATTAATGGCGGGGAAAGAGTTATCAAATCGAAAGCAGCAGAAATCAAGATCACGATTAAAATGTGATTTATTGTGCCACCCTATTTTCCATGATTGCTTGTGTTATTTTCCTGTTTATTACTCTAAAGCTGCTTTGACACACTCTGTATTGTATAGAGCACTATAGAAATAAAAGTAAGATGACTTGTCTTGATGAGCCATTTGATCATTTGATGAACGGTCCGTCTGAAGTGCGCAAACAAGAACGACCCAGACATCGCAAATGTCTCCCACTGACCTCGGGTCAATAACAGTCTGGCTTTCAGATCAGTCATTTCACAGCTAGCTTGCAAATAACAGTGTTGGTGTGCTGACGGCAGTCTAAGCAGATCACGCTGATGCTCGACGGCTTAAGCAAATTACTTGAACGCTTGTGTCCATTAGCATTCTGCTGCAGTGGACGCTTCCTGGCACAAACATGTCGTTTGCATGATTTCCTGACAGTTCCAGGTGGATTTAATTCTTTCAAATGAAAAGAGGTAATTTAGGTGATGTTGAGAGAGGATTGCGGTGCTGAACATATTGATTTGTCCTGGTTAGAGGGAAAATTAGTTCCTGCACCTGCCTGTCAAATTGCAGCCATCAGATCTGAAAATGCAGCAGGTGCAAGAGGAGGGACGGCCCGTATACCGCTACAACAATGCTTTTCTCCTCAGAAAAGGAGAAAAGCACCAGGCCCAGATCAGAAAAGGAGAAAAGCACCAGGCCCAGACTGTGTTTACAGTACCTGTACATACAAAACTGTCTATTGTAATATACCTGCACATACAATTGTCGATTTATATATTTTTATTCCTTATTTACTTGTTCTATTTTTTATTTTTTATTATCTGTGTTTTTTGTTCTGTCACTGTCATTCTGTTACACTGTGGAAGCTTCTGTCACGAAAACAAATTCCTCGTATGTGTAAACATACCTGGCAATAAAGATCATTCTGATTCTGATTCTGATTCTGACTTGTGATCCACCGTGATCCAGACACCTGTGAAAGCTGAGCATGAGCCGACTGCGCTGCACGTCTGTTAGAATGCTTTTCTCCATCATTTCATCATGCTGTAGTGAATTTCTGCTGCTGAGATCACTAGAAAACGTCCTTAAACAATGTTTTTGACACTGAATTCAGTTGATGTGCTGTTTCTAATTCTGCCATTTGTGAAAAATATGTAATAATCCTTATTTAACATTTGGATGACTAGTAAATAAGAAGTTTGCGTGTGTTTAAAAGTTATGCAACACTTTAATGAATTCATGCCACAGAGTTCCGGACTGACAGCCACGAAAAATGCAGGCATTTTTTATTCTTTTAGTATAATTGTACAAACGCACCCTTCAGCTCATGCTAAACGCGTGTTTTTGCTGTGAAATCATTACTGATTTTTATAAAGTAAACATAAGAATAACTTTGTTATTGTTAGTAATATTACTTACTGAAAAAGCTTAGCTTTACTTGATCATCCAGACATAAGTTTTTAGAAAAATCAGTGAGTCTCAAATATGATGATCAGGCTTTTGAGGAATGTTTATTTGTTCATCTCTGTATTGCATTGCAATATGTTTTGATCATTTAAATATCATCTTACTAAGACATATTATTCAAGATATAGAGTGATGACTGATATTTCTATCATTTTATGTAAGTATCTTCTATACTGTTATAAATATCTCATTGCTTTACATAACAGGCATCGGCATTTCATCTTATTTTCTCACCACATAAACAGCAGCATCTGCACCATATTGCATATTTTTTACTCAGTTTGGGTTTCTGAATGAAATTGAGCGGGGATTTTTTCTCTGCAAGTAAGCATTATATTCCTATCCTATATATCACACTATATGAGCCATAAGGTTAAATCTTGAAAAGCTTTCACTCTTGTCCAGTGATGCCATTTCCATTAGAGGCAAGAGAGAGAGAACAGTTAAAAAACGACAGCATAACAAAATGCAGCACCTCATTATTACATTCCCAGGTGATGATATTTCTTTTGTCAAATATAGCTTACAAAGTAGTGTGTACGTAGCATTAGAATAGCACATCAGAGGAGGAAGTTTTACAAAAGCGAAGGCAACTTCTCCTCACAGGAGTCTAAAAGTGAATGCATCCACGCACCGCCTCAGCCCTCAAACCCTAAACCCAAAAAAACAGCTCCAAATTTTACAGCAAATATAAAACCTAGCATCTCCCTTTCAGGATTCAGCAGATGCCTCGTCGTTGTGCTTCTCATTTTTAGCCTCCAGCAATAAAAACACTTTCCTTTTCCTGGCACCATGTTGATTTTCCCCAGCAGAAGAGGTCTGGTTTGAGATTGTTTACCACCCAGACACACACACACACCCAGACACACCCAGACACACACAC